AGTACTTTAAAAAAACTTCCAAAATTTGGATAAAAATCCAAGACAAATTTACCAAAAAAAAAAAAAACAATGAAAATTAACAAGTACTTGAAATGTTGAAAAGTACTTGAAAAGAATTTTAAAACTTAAAACATTCGATGAAGATCCAAGAAAAATTTTCCAAAAAAAGAAAAACGCTTTTACAAAAAAAAATCCGATGTAATTAAACAAATACTTGAAATTTTAAAGTATTGAAAAGTACTTGAAAAAAACTTCAAAACTTGGAAAATTTTAGTACAGTACTTGAAATTAACTTCAAAGTATCAAGAAGTACTCATTAAAATGTTTAAAAGTACTTGAAAACTAAATTAAAACTGTAGAATATAGGTACTTGAATCAACTTTGGAAACATCAATACTTGAAATTAATTTCAAAGTATTAAAAAGTACTTATTCAAATGTTTAAAACTTATTATTAAAAAAAATACTTGAAACATTTAAATTTAATTTTAAAGTGTTAAAAAGTACTTGAAAATTACTTTAGTGTATTTTGCAACAATATTTAAAGCAGTTTTAAATTATATAAGAAGTACTTGAAATTTTAAATTCAATTTTAAAAAGTGTTGAAAAGTACTTGGAAAAAATTTCAAAACTTCGATAAAAATTCAAGAAAAATTTTTAAAAAATCCAATGTTAACAAACAAGTACTTGAAACTTCAAGTTCAATTTTAAAGTACTTGAAAAAATTTCAAAACTTGAAAATTTTCGAGAAAAATTTACCAAAAAAAAAAATCGCTCTTTCAAGAAAAAATGCGATGTTAATAAAAAAAGTACTTGAAACTTCAAGTACAATTTTTTAAATTGAAAAGTACTTGAAAAAACTTGGAAAATTCTGAGAAAAATCAAAAAAAGAAAATCGCTTATTTTCAAAAAAAAATCCGATGTAAACGCACCTAAAGTTTTTCAATATAATTTGCATAGTTGACTCAATTAGCCACAGATGGCGCTCCGTATTAACTCAATCCAATTGACTCGGTTTACACCGACATCCTTTTGGGGGCAAAATTAACGCAAAAAATTAGAATTTTCTACTCAGAAATTTTTTTCACGACTCAGAAAAAATATTTTCTACTTAAATATCGACTCAGAAAAATTTTCTTTGATTTTTCTTGAATTTTTAATCAAGGCTCAATCCAAAAATAACGCCAAAAAACTAGAATTTTCGACTCTGAATTTTTTTTCATGACTCAGAAAAAATATTTTCTACTTAAATATCGACTCAGAAAAATTTTCTTTGATTTTTCTTGAATTTTTAATCAAGGCTCAATCCAAAAATAACGGCAAAAAACTAGAATTTTCGACTCAGAATTTTTTTTCATGACTCAGAAAAAATATTTTCTACTTAAATATCGACTCAGAAAAATTTTCTTTGATTTTTCTTGAATTTTTAATCAAGGCTCAATCCAAAAATAACGGCAAAAAACTAGAATTTTCGACTCAGAATTTTTTTTCATGACTCAGAAAAAATATTTTCTACTTAAATATCGACTCAGAAAAATTTTCTTTGATTTTTCTTGAATTTTTAATCAAGGCTCAATCCAAAAATAACGCCAAAAAACTAGAATTTTCGACTCAGATTTTTTTTTCAAGACTCAGAAAAAATATTTTCTACTTAAATTCGACTCAGAAAAATTTTCTTTGATTTTTCTTGAATTTTTAATCAAGGCTCAATCTAAAAATAACGCCAAAAAACTAGAATTTTCGACTCTGAATTTTTTTTCGTGACTCAGAAAAAATATTTTCTACTTAAATATCGACTCAGAAAAATTTTCTTTGATTTTTCTTGAATTTTTAATCAAAGCTCAATCCAAAAATAACGCCAAAAAACTAGAATTTTCGACTCAGAATTTTTTTTCATGACTCAGAAAAAATATTTTCTACTTAAATTCGACTCAGAAAAAAATTTTCTTTGATTTTTCTTGAATTTTTAATCAAAGCTCAATCCAAAAATAACGCCAAAAAACTAGAATTTTCGACTCAGAATTTTTTTTCATGACTCAGAAAAAATATTTTCTACTTAAATTCGACTCAGAAAAAAATTTTCTTTGATTTTTCTTGAATTTTTAATCAAAGCTCAATCCAAAAATAACGCCAAAAAACTAGAATTTTCGACTCAGAATTTTTTTTCATGACTCAGAAAAAATATTTTCTACTTAAATTCGACTCAGAAAAATTTTCTTTGATTTTTCTTGAATTTGTGATTGAGGCTCAATCCAAAAATAACGCCAAAAAACTAGAATTTTCGACTCAGAATTTTTTTTCATGACTCAGAAAAAATATTTTCTACTTAAATTCGACTCAGAAAAATTTTCTTTGATTTTTCTTGAATTTTTAATCAAGGCTCAATCCAAAAATAACGCCAAAAAACTAGAATTTTCGACTCAGATTTTTTTTTCAAGACTCAGAAAAAATATTTTCTACTTAAATTCGACTCAGAAAAATTTTCTTTGATTTTTCTTGAATTTTTAATCAAGGCTAAATCCAAAAATAACGCCAAAAAACTAGAATTTTCGACTCAGAATTTTTTTTCATGACTCAGAAAAAATATTTTCTACTTAAATTCGACTCAGAAAAAAATTTTCTTTGATTTTTCTTGAATTTTTAATCAAGGCTCAATCCAAAAATAACGCCAAAAAACTAGAATTTTCGACTCAGAATTTTTTTTCATGACTCAGAAAAAATATTTTCTACTTAAATTCGACTCAGAAAAAAATTTTCTTTGATTTTTCTTGAATTTGTGATTGAGGCTCAATCCAAAAATAACGCCAAAAAACTAGAATTTTCGACTCAGAATTTTTTTTCATGACTCAGAAAAAATATTTTCTACTTAAATTCGACTCAGAAAAATTTTCTTTGATTTTTCTTGAATTTTTAATCAAGGCTCAATCCAAAAATAACGCAAAAAAACTAGAATTTTCGACTCAGAATTTTTTTTCATGACTCAGAAAAAATATTTTCTACTTAAATATCGACTCAGAAAAATTTTCTTTGATTTTTCTTGAATTTTTAATCAAGGCTCAATCCAAAAATAACGCCAAAAAACTAGAATTTTCGACTCAGATTTTTTTTTCAAGACTCAGAAAAAATATTTTCTACCTAAATTCGACTCAGAAAAATTTTCTTTGATTTTTCTTGAATTTTTAATCAAGGCTCAATCTAAAAATAACGCCAAAAAACTAGAATTTTCGACTCTGAATTTTTTTTCGTGACTCAGAAAAAATATTTTCTACTTAAATATCGACTCAGAAAAATTTTCTTTGATTTTTCTTGAATTTTTAATCAAAGCTCAATCCAAAAATAACGCCAAAAAACTAGAATTTTCGACTCAGAATTTTTTTTCATGACTCAGAAAAAATATTTTCTACTTAAATTCGACTCAGAAAAATTTTCTTTGATTTTTCTTGAATTTGTGATTGAGGCTCAATCCAAAAATAACGCCAAAAAACTAGAATTTTCGACTCAGAATTTTTTTTCATGACTCAGAAAAAATATTTTCTACTTAAATTCGACTCAGAAAAATTTTCTTTGATTTTTCTTGAATTTTTAATCAAGGCTCAATCCAAAAATAACGCCAAAAAACTAGAATTTTCGACTCAAAATTTTTTTTCATGACTCAGAAAAAATATTTTCTACTTAAATATCGACTCAGAAAAATTTTCTTTGATTTTTCTTGAATTTTCAATCAAGGCTCAATCCAAAAATAACGCCAAAAAACTAGAATTTTCGACTCAGAATTTTTTTTCATGACTCAGAAAAAATATTTTCTACTTAAATATCGACTCAGAAAAATTTTCTTTGATTTTTCTGGAATTTTTAATTAAGGCTCAATCCAAAAATAACGCCAAAAAACTAGAATTTTCGACTCAGAATTTTTTTTCATGACTCAGAAAAAATATTTTCTACTTAAATATCGACTCAGAAAAATTTTCTTTGATTTTTCTTGAATTTTTAATCAAGGCTCAATCCAAAAATAACGCCAAAAAACTAGAATTTTCGACTCAGAATTTTTTTTCAAGACTCAGAAAAAATATTTTCTGCTTAAATTCGACTCAGAAAAATTTTCTTTGATTTTTCTTGAATTTTTAATCAAGGCTCAATCTAAAAATAACGCCAAAAAACTAGAATTTTCGACTCAGAATTTTTTTTCATGACTCAGAAAAAATATTTTCTACTTAAATATCGACTCAGAAAAATTTTCTTTGATTTTTCTTGAAAAAAAAAATTCCCTCAAAAAAACAAAATGAAAATTTGCAAATTTTTCCTCAATTACGTCATAATTCCATTGAAGTAATATGGAGCGCCACCTATTGCATATTTACATTGAAGAAAAATTTGCAAAAAAAATATCTACGATTCACCTAATTGATTCATTTTTCCTTAAAAAAAAAAAAGCATCTATGATGACGTCATCATTTTGAAATAACATCGAGGATAATGTAAAAATTAAGTGAGGTTACTATTGGCGACATCTATTAAACAAAAGCCTGTAATTATCAAAAATGGTTTTTAGTGCTTGTGCTTGGTATTTTTTCGAGATAATTGCATTTGTTTTCAAAACAAAAGTACTTATGGTGACGTCATCATTTTGCTGAAAACCTAGCTCTAATTTACAGATTTCTGTAATAATTAGTTTCAGCGTTTGCTTAATAGATGTCGCTAATTAAACAATTAAATTGTGTTTTCTTACCTTTATTCAAATCAGGAAATGATGATGGGATTTTCGTCCATAATGTTTCCTGCAAGGATAAATTTTTTACTCAAACCTCACGTGAGTCCTTTTTACTCACCTGACTGAGTAAAATCATACACAGTATTCCTTGTAGTGAGTCCAGGATTTCCCTCAAACGGCCATCCTATAAAAGACAAACATATTTACAGGAAAAATTCCAGCAAAATTATGGAACTTTTAGTTCAAGAAATCCCAATTCTGACCAATTAATTTGCTAGAAAGAATGTGGTGTAAACACAGTCAATTGAATGTGTATACCTGCCTTAAATCCTCTTTGTTTTTGAACCACTGGCACAAATGTTTGTAGTCAAAATACCAAAATTCCCTATAGGTTTTTTCCCTAATCCCTAAATTAATTGGGCCTTTTTGTTTTGTCCCACTGGAGTTCCTTTTTCCAATTATTAATCAAAATTACCTTAGTAAAACTGGTTTTTTTCCGCAACAAATCTTGTCCCACTGCTTTTGTCCAGTCCAGAACAAGTTGAACAGTTTTTAATTACTAAAGGACAATCAAGTATTTAGAAATAATTGTTTTAAGTCCATGTAAACAAATAATTGAGGTTAGGAAACCATTTTGCTGTCAAAAACGTGTCAGCGCCATCTATCAACGAGCGACCAAAGTTACCAATTACAGATTCCTGTAATAGTAATTATTTGATTTTTGTTGTAATTTTTTGCTAATTTCGATTTTTATTAATAAATTCAAACAATTATTAATTAAATTTGCATCAATGAACAAACAAAATTGTTTTTTTCGTTTTGGATGCAAATTACAATTACACAAAAAAAAAAAAAACATTGTCAAAATTATTGATGACGTCATCGTTTCATAACTAAATTCTAAACATGCGAAATAATAAAGTGAGGCCACTAGCGACATCTATGAAACAATTACTAACGCTGATTTAAAACAGAAATCTGTAATTGTAAGAATATTGATTTTTTTTTGTAGTGGCGCCATCTATTGAACGACACGCAAAACTATATATTTATTATAGGAATATGGGTTTTTAAGCGTGGCGCCATCTCTGAAACACATATTTGAAGCTCTTTGTTTACAGATAACTGTAATTTATGAAATTTTCTGGATAAAAAGAGGAAAATCAGGGGCGTATCATAATAAAATTTCGAATTTTTCTAGTCATTACTTACCAAAATAGAGTGAAAAGAGCGACCCAGAGTAACCATGGAATATTTTACTCAAAATAGAATTAATGGAAAAAGGAGTAACAAGAATTTATTCAAAAAAAAACTACCTAAGAAATTTCTTCTTCTTCTTTTTCCTCAATTTTTGACGTTTCCACTTTAACCTCAAAACTTTTTTCCTCGATACCATTTTCTTGATTTTTGTTCCGCAACTCAAACACTTGCTGAATGGCGTTCCGGAAACAAATGAAATTGTAGTCGATGATCCCTTTGTGATCGAAATTATCTTCCCTGAAGATGCACACTAAAGCTAGAAACTTGTTGACTTCTCGTAAATACAAAACGGTTCCGTTGTTGAGTTTAATAAGGCTGGAACTTTGATCGTCAAATGCTGCAGGTTCCTGTTCTTCTTTCACCCTTAAATAAATCGATTTTTTCGATTATCGATTATCGATATCGATAAAAATTTACCCGTAAATCGATGATAAATCGATGACGACGTCGATCATGTCGCAGCATAACTCGTAACTTTGCATGTCGACCGGAGTAGAGTCGGTTGCAATGTAAATTTTCGATACTACGTCGAACAAAAACGACTTTTCTATTGCGGAATTCTGGAAAATAAGAAATTTTTCTGAGTATTTAAAAACTATCGATATTTGGCTCAGAAAACTTTTTTTTTTCTGAGTTCGATTTTTTTTTTATATGCGGCATTTGTAGTAACATTTGAAAAAAATTACTCAGAATTTTTTTTTCAATATGCGACGTTTGTAGCAACATTTTGATATTGACGACTCAGAAAAAAAATTATGGAAATTTTTCTGGGTTTGAATTTTTTTCATATGCGGCATTTGAAAAAAATGACTCAGAAAAAAAAAAAATTCTGAGTCCGAATTTTTTTATTAATTTTTCTTTTCGATATGTGACGTTTGTAGCAACATTTTGAAATTGATGACTCAGAAAAAAAATTATGAAAATTTTTATGGGCTTAAATTTTTTTATGATTTTTTTTTATATGCGGCATTTGTATCAACATTTGAAAAAAATGACTCAGAAAAAAAAAATTCTGAGTCCGAATTTTTTTATTAATTTTTTTTTCGATATGCAACGTTTGTAGCAACATTTTGAAATTGACTCAGAAAAAAAAATTATAAATATTTTTCTGAGTTCGAATTTTTTTGATTTTTTTTTATATGCGGCGTTTGTACCAACATTTGAAAAAAATGACTTCGAATTTTTTTTTTCTGAGTCCAATTTTTTTTATTAATGACTCAGAAAAAAAAAATGAAAATTTTTCTGAGTTTGAATTTTTTATAATTTTTTTTTTATATGCGGCGTTTGTACTAACATTTGAAAAAAATTACTCAGAATTTTTTTTTCAATATGCGACGTTTGTAGCAACATTTTGATATTGACGACTCAGAAAAAAAATTATGGAAATTTTTCTGGGTTTGAATTTTTTATGATTTTTTTTTCATATGCGGCATTTGAAAAAAATGACTCAGAAAAAAAAAAAAATTCTGAGTACGAATTTTTTTATTAATTTTTTTTTTTTTCGATATGCGACGTTTGTAGCAACATTTTGAAATTGATGACTCAGAAAAAAAAATTATGAAAATTTTTCTGAGTTTGAATTTTTTTGCTTTTTTTTTATATGCGGCGTTTGTACTAACGAAAATGACTTCGAATTTTTTTTTTTTTCTGAGTCCGAATTTTTTTATTGATGACTCAAAAAAAAAAGAAAATTTTTCTGAGTTTGAATTTTTTATGATATTTTTTTTATATGCGGCGTTTGTAGCAATATTTTGAAATTGATGACTCAGAAATAAATTATGGAAATTTTTCTGAGTTTCAATTTTTATGATTTTTTTTATATGCGGCGTTTGTATCAACATTTAAAAAACATTTTTTTCAAATGTTGGTACAACGTTACATATAAAAAAATAATAATAAAAAAATTCAAACTCAGAAAAATTTTCATAAATTTTTTTTCTGAGTCATCGATTTCAAAATGTTGCTACAAACGTCGCATATCGAAAAAACAATTATTAAAAAAATTTGGACTTAAGTATTTTTTTTTCTGAGTCATTTTTTTCAAATGTTGGTACAACCGTCACATATAAAAAAATAATAATAGAAAAATTCAAACTCAGAAAAATTTTCATAATTTTTTTTTCTGAGTCATCAATTTGAAAATGTTGCTACAAACGCCACATACTGAAAAAAAATCATAAAAAAATTCGGACTCAGAATTTTTTTTTCTGAGTCATTTTTTTAAAATGTTGGTACAAACGCCGCATATAAAAAAAAATCATAAAGAATTCAAACTCAGAAAAATTTCCATAATTTTTTTTCTGAGTCATTAATTTCAAAATGTTGCTACAAACGCCGCATATCGAAAAAAATTCATAAAAAAATTCGGACTCAGATTTTTTTTTCTGAGTCATTTTTCTCAAATGTTGGTACAAACGTCACATAAAAAAATAATAATAAAAAAATTCAAACTCAGAAAAATTTTCATAATTTTTTTTTCTGAGTCATCAATTTCAAAATGTTGCTACAAACGGCGCATATCGGAAAAAAAATTAATAAAATAATTCGGACTCAGATTTTTTTTTTCTGAGTCATTTTTTTCAAATGTCGGTACAAATGTCACATAAAAAAATAGTAATAATAAAAAAATTCAAACTCAGAAAAATTTCCCTAATTTTTTTTTTTGAGTCATCAATTTCAAAATGTTGCTACAAACGCCGCATATCGAAAAAAAAATTCATAAAAAAATTCGGACTCAGATTTTTTTTTTTTGAGTCATTTTTTTCAAATGTTGATACAAATGCCGCATATAAAAAAAAATTCAAAAAAAAATTCGGACTCAGAATTTTTTTTCTGAGTCATTTTTTTCAAATGTTGGTACAAACGTCACATAAAAAAATAATAATAGAAAAATTCAAACTCAGAAAAATTTTCATAATTTTTTTTTCTGAGTCATCAATTTCAAAATGTCGCTGCAAACGCCGCATATCGAAAAAAAAAAATCATAAAAAAATTCGGACTCAGAATTTTTTTTTCTGAGTCATTATTTTCAAAATGTCGCTGCAAACGCCGCATATCGAAAAAAAAAAATCATAAAAAAATTCGGACTCAGAATTTTTTTTTCTGAGTTATTATTTTCAAAATGTCGCTGCAAACGCCGCATATCGAAAAAAAAAAATCATAAAAAAATTCGAACTCAGAATTTTTTTTTCTGAGTCATTTTTTTCCAATGTTGGTACAAACGTCACATAAAAAAATAATAATAAAAAAATTCAAACTCAGAAAAATTTTCATAATTTTTTTTTCTGAGTCATCAATTTCAAAATGTTGCTATAAACGCCGCATATCGAAAAAAAATTCATAAAAAAATTCGGACTCAGAATTTTTTTTTCTGAGTCATTTTTCTCAAATGTTGGTACAAACGTCACATAAAAAAATAATAATAAAAAAATTCAAACTCAGAAAAATTTTCATAATTTTTTTTTTTTGAGTCATCAATTTCAAAATGTTGCTACAAACGGCGCATATCGGAAAAAAAATTAATAAAATAATTCGGACTCAGATTTTTTTTTTCTGAGTCATTTTTTTCAAATGTCGGTACAAATGTCACATAAAAAAATAGTAATAATAAAAAAATTCAAACTCAGAAAAATTTCCCTAATTTTTTTTTCTGAGTCATCAATTTCAAAATGTTGCTACAAACGCCGCATATCGAAAAAAAAATTCATAAAAAAATTCGGACTCAGATTTTTTTTTTCTGAGTCATTTTTTTCAAATGTTGATACAAATGCCGCATATAAAAAAATAATAATAGAAAAATTCAAACTCAGAAAAATTTTCATAATTTTTTTTTCTGGGTCATCAATTTGAAAATGTTGCTACAAACGCCACATACTGAAAAAAAATCATAAAAAAATTCGGACTCAGAATTTTTTTTTCTGAGTCATTTTTCTCAAATGTTGGTACCAACGTCACATAAAAAAATAATAATAAAAAAATTCAAACTCAGAAAAATTTTCATAATTTTTTTTTCTGAGTCATCGATTTCAAAATGTTGCTACAAACGGCGCATATCGGAAAAAAAATTAATAAAATAATTCGGACTCAGATTTTTTTTTTCTGAGTCATTTTTTTCAAATGTCGGTACAAATGTCACATAAAAAAATAGTAATAATAAAAAAATTTAAACTCAGAAAAATTTCCCTAATTTTTTTTTCTGAGTCATCAATTTCAAAATGTTGCTACAAACGCCGCATATCGAAAAAAAAATTCATAAAAAAATTCGGACTCAGATTTTTTTTTTCTGAGTCATTTTTTTCAAATGTTGATACAAATGCCGCATATAAAAAAATAATAAAAAAATTCAAACTCAGAAAAATTTTCATAATTTTTTTTTCTGAGTCATCAATTTCAAAATGTTGCTACAAACGCCGCATATCGAAAAAAAAATACATAAAAAAATTCGGACTCAGATTTTTTTTTCTGAGTATTTTTTTCCAATGTTGGTACAAACGTCACATAAAAAAATAATAATAAAAAAATTCAAACTCAGAAAAATTTTCATAATTTTTTTTTCTGAGTCATCAATTTCAAAATGTCGCTGCAAATGCCGCATATCGAAAAAAAAAAATCATAAAAAAATTCGGACTCAGAATTTTTTTTTCTGAGTCATTATTTTCAAAATGTCGCTGCAAACGCCGCATATCAAAAAAAAAAAATCATAAAAAAATTCGGACTCAGAATTTTTTTTTCTGAGTCATTATTTTCAAAATGTCGCTGCAAACGCCGCATATCGAAAAAAAAAAATCATAAAAAAATTCGAACTCAGAATTTTTTTTTCTGAGTCATTTTTTTCCAATGTTGGTACAAACGTCACATAAAAAAATAATAATAAAAAAATTCAAACTCAGAAAAATTTTCATAATTTTTTTTTCTGAGTCATCAATTTCAAAATGTCGCTGCAAACGCCGCATATCGAAAAAAAAAATCATAAAAAAATTCGGACTCAGAATTTTTTTTTCTGAGTCATTATTTTCAAATATTGGTACAAACGCCGCATATAAAAAAATAAAAAACGTTTCAAAACTCCTTAGAACTGTCAGAAAATGCATTCCAACGAGTTCTAACAAATTAGAAATTGATTGAAACATATTGAAAACTCGTTAGAATGTGTTAGAAACTCATTGGAACTTATTAGAAATTCGTTGAATTGATTAGAAACTGTGTTGGAACTTTTTAGAAATTTGTTGAAACATATTAATTCGATCATTGAAACTCGTTGGAACAAGTTTTGAACAACTTGGAAACTTTATATTATTCCGAGCAATGTAGGAATTTAAATTTAAATATTTGAATTTCGCGCTCATTTTGAAATTTGATAAATAATGACGTAAATGTTAGGTTAATTAGCAAAGAGGAGAAGTGTAATATCCTTGCTCCTAATTTGAGATTATGTTTTTATTAAAATGTGTCAGAAAGAGATAAAAATACATTTTTTTTTTGCACCCGATTAACCAATAGGTTTTGTTATATTGGAAGAGTAAGTGTTCACTCAGTGTAGTTGTGTCTTTTTCTAGCAGATCGTATAAGAAAGAGATACAAACAATCTTTTTCTGTACTAGTTGAATAAAGATGTCAAACTACAAGTTGACATTTTTTGTCGGATCAGAAATGTATTTATGCTACTCAGAAATACTTACAGTATTCAAAATGTTCAAGAGATTCTCCAAAGCAGGCAGCTGATTGATCAACTTCTGAACCACCTTAGAAAAAGCCTCAAAAATCGAATGATCATAGATGGACGTCAAATGGAAGCTCAGATGAATCTGCTGATCATAACCCGAGTCACTCAGATCGTCCATGGCCCTCTGATGAATGTCCCTCTGACACTCCATCTTGGAATCATCTCCCAGCCCATCTACTTTATGAATAAAAACCTCAAATTTAATATTTGAGTTGATTTTAAAGGCCTTTGTTACAATAAGGTTTAGCTTGTTTAGAGCTTCAATGTAATCGTCTTGGGCATCGATGACGAAAACTAAGGCCCCGCACCCACCGAAAATCGTATCGAAATCGAAACAAGTATCGAAAAAGTCGATTTGCCCGGGGAAATCCCAGATTTGGAACTGCACGAAGCTGGAATTGTTGATGTCGTCCTTGACGATTTTGTTGGTGCTTTCCAGGAAAAGGGTTTCGTTGGGTGACATTTTGTGGAAAACTACTTTTTGTATCGACGATTTTCCGGATCTTCGTAGGCCCATTAGGAGGATTTTCGGTTTTCCTCCGCCCTCTTTGTCTGGATTGTTGTTTGGGGTATTGGTGTCTTGTTCTTCGCCCCCGTAGCCGAAATCTTTGGGGAATGACCCCGCCTGCTCTTGACTTACCATTATTTTAGTGTTTTTGCGTGTTTGGCCCCTCACTATTGGGACATTTTATTAATAATTAATAATTAAACTTTTAAATAAATAAAAAATATTTTTATAGGTTATGTTGTTTTGTTGTTGTCGATTGTGATCGGTAATCGAGGAAACTGTAATTTTGCACTTTAACGATTTTTTTTAAAAAATTAAACATTTTTTAATTAGTTTTAACGATTTTTTTGCATTTAATTACCTAAAAAAATAATAATTACTTTAATTTGTCTTAAAATCAAATAATTATTATTACAGGAATCTGTAATTGGCAACTTTGGTTGTTTGTTGATAGATGGCGCTGGCAATTTTTTATTTATGCATTTTTAATAATATTTTATTAATTTTAATGAATAATCGTTCAAGATACTTATAATTACCCAATTATTGCAAATAAAATCTAATTAATTACAAAAAATCAATAAAATAAAATTACAGATTTCTGTAAAAGAAACAATTTTGTTTATTTATTTCATCAATTTAATTAATAATTATTTTGTTTTAATTGTATATAAACAATAAAGTTTTGATCAGTAACCGAGAAAATTGTAATTTCAAAAATTATTAAAATTCACGAGTGAACTTTTGCTACTCCGAACAAAGTGACGTCGGTTGAATGCATCCAAATGTCTAAAAAAAAATATTGTTTTGACTCTGGATCCGAACGATAATAATTAATAATTTCACTCTGTTTACTCTATATTTGATTCAGTGGAGTAAAAGGAGCCAAAGAAAAAAATATTTTCACTCTAAAATACTGTTCTGCCAACATTTTTACGTAAATAATTGGATCGTTCGGAGTGTATTATTTTTTGTAACAAACTTACTCTAAATACAAAACTCGAACTGGTAGAGTAAAAAAAGAGTACAAATTCACTCTTAGAAAAATTGACGTTCCAAAGTCAAAGTGCAAAGTGGCTGAGTAAGACAAGGAAAGAGATAGAGTAGGATGCAATTTAAGTGTACAGTTTGTTTAAAGGAGACTGAAAAACTTTACCTACTCTAGAAAAGTCAAAGCCTCGTACTAAAAATAGGTTTTCCCAATCGAAAAAATCACTGGAAAATCCTAAGAAAAATCACATGCCAAAACCTACTTGATGAAACCTAAGTTCTTGTCACTTACCCCATTGGAAAACTGGAAATTTTTGACACAAAATGAAGAAAAATCAAAGTCTCGAACTTTAAATCAGTTTTTCCGTTCGAAAACGGCCTGGAAAAACGGAAAATTTGAAGAAAACTGGATAAAAATGTAAACACACTTGAGTTATTAACATGTTTATAAAAAAAGAAGAATAAAAATCCAAAGCTTATTATTTGAGTTATAAAAAAGAAGAACAGAAATCCAAAGCCTACTTGAGTTATTAGCGTTATTTAAAAAAAAAGAAGAACCAAAATCTAAAGAATTTTTAAACTTCTTTTTCTTGAAAAATTCTATAAGTCAAGTAGGCTTTGGATTACTGTTCTTCTTTTTCTTAAAAAATGCTAATAACTTAAGTAGGCTTTAGATTTGCGTTCTTTTTAATCCACTTTTTGGTAACGTAAGATTGTAGCATCCCAGTGAACTCAACTTTGTTAAACACTGGAAACGAGAGAGAAAGGTATAGAGCAGAGTTTGGTTGCAGTATTTAAAAATATTCGTTAGAATTTAAACGGTTTGGCCAGATAATGAAAACTACTATATGCACACCGTGGGTGTAGATAAAATGTTGTACTTTACATGTTGTTGTTGTTTTTTCATTATTCTCGACTCTCCATTGGTCCGAATGTAATAAAAATTAAAAAACCGTTCAATACAAATAGGAGCGCAAATAAAATGTTGTACGTTACACGTAAGTATGTAGTACCAATTGCCAGTCAATTGAGAAAAAAAATCCAAAGCCTACTTGAATCAATGATTTTTTCAAAAAAAAAAGAAGACAAAATCGAAAACCTACTTGTGTATCGATAACGTGTAAAATGTATTCAAATGTCAAAAAAACCTAGTATCAACTGTCAAAAAATCAAAAAAGAAGAAACATTCCACAGCCTCCTTTAACAGCTACCAATAATTGTCAACAAGTTTTTTAAAAAAAAAAGAAGAACGAAATTCCAAAGCCTTCTTTGATGGAAAAAAAAGAAGAAATCGACTTTTTCCGATCCTAATGGACACGTGTATCGATAAATAGGAACTCATTAAGCTCACTTAAAGAGTCCATTAGACAAAAAATAAGGGAGAAAAATCATCCAAGGATAAAAACATTCAAAAATGGCCGACTGTCAAAACTGCAAATAACATTATGCGACGTTGCCACATTTTAAAATATTCCCGGCTTTTTGATTGGGCGCTAAAAATCGCATTTTGAATATTCCCGGTTTTTGATTGACTCCAAATTATCCGCTAACCAATAGAATTATAAACTGGACCCCGTGATTAAAATAACTCCGGCCCTTCGGGCTCGCATATAACTCTAGCCCTTCGGGCTTTTGGATAACTCCAGCCCTTCGGGCTGGCATGTAACTCTAGCCTTTCAGACTTTCATATAACTCCGGCCCTTCGGGCTCGCATATAACTCTAGCCTTTCGGGCTTTTGTATAACTCCAGCCCTTCGGGCTGGCATGTAACTCTAGCCTTTCAGACTTTCATATAACTCCGGCCCTTCGGGCTCGCATATAACTCTAGCCTTTCGGGCTTTTGTATAACTCCAGCCCTTCGGGCTGGCATGTAACTCTAGCCCTTCGAACTTTCGTATGACTCCGGCCCTTCGGGCTCGCAAAATCTAGAAATATCAACCGGTGAAGGCCTCAAATCGTATTTTGTTTTTGTTTCTTTGCATGCAATAAACAAGGACAAACAAACTTTTTTTTTTTCTGGAAACTTCCAACCGATGAATGTCTATAATTATTATGACGTTTTACAAAGTAGGCTTTGGTTTCTTTTGGCGCAAACGTCAGAGAACTTGACGTCCTAAGTAGGCCTTGTAATTTTTTTGGCAAATAATTCAAAATGGCTACTATTGTGGAAAATTTGAAATTGACAAGGCCTACTTGGGTTTGAGCCTCAATGATTGAAATAATGTTTGTTGCAAATTGTATAGTTGGTAACACTGTTTGACAAAGTTTGAATTTGGCATCCTTGTAATACAGACTGGGCTTGGTAATTGCATCTGCGAGCTAATTTTGACGGACGTCACATGTCAAATCACGTTACATCTGTCAAATTTTTCCTGTACAAACAATTCCTGTAATTTTGAATAATTTTGCGCCATTTTTGGATTTTACCTCAATTACAAATTCAAGAAAAGCCAAAGAAAATTTTTCTGAGTCGATTTTTAAGTAGAAAATATTTTTTCTGAGTCGTGAAAAAAAAATTCTGGGTCGAAGATTCTAGTTTATTTGCGTTATTTTTGAATTTTGCCTCAATTACAAATTTAAGAGAAGTCAAAAAAAAAAATTCTGAGTCGATATTTAAGTAGAAAATATTTTTTCTGAGTCGTGAAAAAAAATTCTGAGTCGATAATTCTAGTTTATTTGCATTATTTTTGGATTAAGCCTCAATTGAAAATTCAAGAAAAGTCAAAAAAAAAATTTCTGAGTCGATATTTAAGTGGAAAATATTTTTTCTGAGTCGTGAAAAAAAAATTCTGAGTCGAAGATTCTAGTTTATTTGCGTTATTTTTGAATTTTGCCTCAATTACAAATTTAAGAAAAGTAAAAAAAAAAATTCTGAGTCGATATTTAAGTAGAAAATATTTTTTCTGAGTCGTGAAAAAAAATTCTGAGTCGATAATTCTAATTTTTTGTGCTAGTTTTGGATTTTGCCTCAATAACAAATTCAAGAAAAGTCAAAGAAAATTTTTCTGAGTCGATTTTTAAGTAGAAAATATTTTTTCTGAGTCGTGAAAAAAAATTCTGAGTCGAAAATTCAATTTTTTTTGCGCCATTTTTGGATTTTGCCTCAATTACAAATTCAAGAAAAATCAAAGAAAATTTTTCTGAGTCGATATTTAAGTAGAAAATATTTTTTCTGAGTCATGAAAAAAAAATCTGAGTCGAAAATTCTAGTTTATTTGCGTTTTTTTTGGATTAAGTCTTAATTAAAAATTCAAGAAAAGTCAAAGAAAATTTTTGAGTTGATATTCAAGTAGGAAATATTTTTTCTGAGTCGTAAAAAAAATTCTGAGTCGAAAATTTTATTTTTTTTTTCGCCATTTTTGAATTTTGCCTCAATTACAAATTCAAGAAAAATCAAAGAAAATTTTTCTGAGTCGATATTTAAGTAGAAAATATTTTTTCTGAGTCGTGAAAAAAATTCTGAGTTGAAAATTCTAGTTTATTTGCGTTATTTTTGGATTAAGCCATAACTAAAAATTTAAAAAAAGTCAAAATAAAAATTTCTGAGTCGATATTTAAGTAGAAAATATTTTTTCTGAGTCGTAAAAAAAATTCAGAGTCGAAAATTTTATTTTTTTTTTCGCCATTTTTGAATTTTGCCTCAATTACAAATTCAGGAAAAATCAAAGAAAATTTTTCTGAGTCGTTTTTAAGTAGAAAATATTTTTTCTGAGTCGTGAAAAAAAATTCAGAGTCGATAATTCTAATTTTTTGCGCTAGTTTTGGATTTTGCCTCAATAACAAATTCAAGAAAAGTCAAAGAAAATTTTTCTGAGTCGATTTTTAAGTAGAAAATATTTTTTCTGAGTCATGAAAAAAAAATCTGAGTCGAAAATTCTAGTTTATTTGCGTTTTTTTTGGATTAAGTCTTAATTAAAAATTCAAGAAAAGTCAAAGAAAATTTTTGAGTTGATATTCAAGTAGGAAATATTTTTTCTGAGTCGTAAAAAAAATTCTGAGTCGAAAATTTTATTTTTTTTTTCGCCATTTTTGAATTTTGCCTCAATTACAAATTCAAGAAAAATCAAAGAAAATTTTTCTGAGTCGATATTTAAGTAGAAAATATTTTTTCTGAGTTGAAAATTCTAATTTTTTTGCGCCATTTTTGGATTTTGCTTCAATTACAAATTCAAGAAAAATCAAAGAAAATTTTTCTGAGTCGATATTTAAGTAGAAAATATTTTTTCTGAGTCGTAAAAAAAATTCAGAGTCGAAAATTTTATTT